CATGAGTCTGAATAAACTTGGCTGATACCTAAGTTCTTTCTCTCATTGTAATTAACTGAGCAAGACTGTTCCTTCCTTATAATTCGAGCTCAACTTATAGAACATCTCGCGCTATAAGAAACTTGGGCCGAATTATATCCTATCCAAGAAAGACTTTAGCTCTGCTTATTGGACAATTCGCACCATAAGAAACTAGGGCATCGTCTGACTTTCCCTGAAACATTGTACTTATATATATATATTTGATTTATTTATTATTAGAGTACATTTAATTTATCTATTTATTTTATCGACAATTATAGTAAATTTATTAGAAACAAATTCTTACTCATTAGCTGGATACGAAAGTTCGAATTATTATTATTTATAAGTGATACGAACATCACAATATATATACATATATATATAAAATTTAAAATGAAAGGTAGTTTGTTTTTTTAGCAAGTAAAAGAAAATATCCTCAGTGCGAGAAAAAAATAAAAGTCTGGAATAACCATGCCTTGCTACCAGTTGATAGGTGTTAATTTGCGTGAAGCGAATTTGCTCCGTAATTCGTAAGTCTTTTCAACAGCCGAGTGGTCTCAGACTCGGCGGTTTCCAAACTTCACGGGCAATTCAACGGCGGTTTCCAAAACTTCCCGCCCGTACGCGCGTTAAATGTAGGATTTTTTCAATTAAATATGAAACGCATGATATCTCGATCCTTCCACTTGAATTTTATTAATAATTAATAGCCTCAATTACACCTCAATAGTGATCCAATTTGTCTATCGCGAGGGACAATTAGTATGTTGACACGGTGACCATGGGAAAAGAGAATAACGCAAACAGTTATAACTGAATTTATCACTTTATTCCGGGAAAGGATGCGATCCACATTGATTACGATAGAGAGATTCGCACGCAAACAAGTGGATAAACTTTTAGCTCTAAATATATATATTTACGAGGTGTGTTCAAAAAGTAAGGTGACTTTTCAAATTTCACGGGCAACGTACTTTCGATTATCGATTGTTATTCGATTGATATTCGATTATCGATCTGTTTTGTTATGTTGGTACACTCTTCCCGAACATCTGTACCAAGTTTCAAGTGTACAACATTTTTTGTTTGGTTGAACGTTTTCATGTTCAAGCAGTGAAGAAAATTGTTCTGGAAAATCGTCGAATCACTATCAGAGAAGTTGCTGAGGATGTTGGTATATCGCTTGGCTCGTGCCATGAAATTTTTTCTAACGTTTTGGGCATGAGACGTGTGTCAGCGAAGTTTGTTCCGAAATTGCTAAATTTTGACCAAAAGAACCGTCGGATGAGCATCGCTTAAGAACTGTTGAACGACGACCCAGATTTACTCAAAAGGGTCATAACTGGTGACGAATCATGGGTATATGGTTATGATATCGAAACCAAAGTCCAATCGTCCCAATGGAAGAGCCCAGATGAGCGAAGACCGAAAAAAGCACGCCAAGTTCGATCAAATGTCAAAGTTTTGCTCACTGTTCTCTTCGATTACCATGGCGTGGTGCATCAGGAGTTCTTACCATATGGACGTACGGTCAATAAACAGTATTATCTTGAAGTTATGCGCCGTTTGCGAGAAGCAATACGAAGAAAACGCCTAGAATTGTGGAAAAACAATTCATGGCTTTTGCATCACGATAATGCCCCTGCTCACTCATCTTTACTTGTGAGAGATTTTTTGGCCAAAAACAACACCATAATCATGCCTCAACCACCATATTCACCGGATTTGGCCCCATGTGACTTTTTCTTGTTCCCAAAACTAAAGAGACCTATGAAAGGACGGAGATTTGCAACGATTGAAGAGATAAAGACTGCATCGCTGGAAGAGCTCAAGGCTATACCGAAAAGTGCTTATGAGGAGTGCTTTGAGGATTGGAAAAACCGTTGGCATAAGTGTATTGTATCTGAGGGGGATTACTTTGAAGGGGACAACATAAATATTGATAAATAAATAAATATTTTTTTTTTAAATACAAAGTCACCTTACTTTTTGAACACATCTCGTATATATGGAATAAAACCAAAAGAGAGAAAGAGACAGAGAAAGAGAGAGAGAGAGAGAGATGCGTTATTTCGCCTTGCGATGTCTATCATTAATTATAGGAATGGTATTCACTTCTGTCAAATATATCTATATGAGACTGGTCTAAAATATGTTTTCTATCCAATCCAATAATGCGAAATTGTAATTTACAGATTAACTGGTCTAAGATATTTTCCATCGAATGATGTGGCAACACACAATAAAATAATACGTCTAATAATTTTTCTTTATATTTCAAAATTATTAAAATGAATGTACTGGATACTTGAAACACTTATTATAACTCAAAATATTATTCAGACATAAAAATCAATTTTAGTAGCAAAATGCAGTCTTTCTAGTTGGGCGTTCGCTTCTCACTAACTGCTCGCGTCCACACTATTCGTCCGTACACTTTTTGTTTCCCTCTTTCATTCCTTGCCAGACTCTCTCTCTCTCTCTCTCTCTCTCTCTCTCTCTCTCTCTCTCTATTGTTCCGAACCTAATATATTATAATATTATTTTATCATTCTATTACTTTGTATTTGCGCGAGAGGTAAGGAAGAGAGCAGGTAAGAGAGACATGACATGACATGAACTGTCCATGCGGTCGCGCATTGCTCACATGCGACAATTACGGACCAGTATGCAAAAAGAACGCTCTTCTCACGAACTTCCACAGGCCAACTGATCGCTTTGGTTCTGATAAGGCGATATAAAGAAATTCAACGAATTAAAACTACAATAAGCGATCCTTTATTCACGCCTTGTACAAATAATACTAAACGCTAAATACGACACTTGGAATGAATGCACTCGATCAGTCCGTACCGTGACAAAATACGCCGGAACACACGAGCGAATTCGCTCAGCATGCGTATTTTCATCTTAGTCTATTCACAGTTGTGTAAACGAGCGAGAGCTGACGCGAGAGAGAGAAAAAGAATTAATGCTTATGAGAGCGACCCACCAGTTGCCGTCGACTCGTTGACGGAGAGGCAACGCGGACGAGACAAAGTCCCGCTGTCTGGGGCATCCGTGCGATGACTAGCGCTGGCATGGAGCTAGCCGCACCGCGGCCTTTACTTCTCGGACGCGTAATGGCTGCGTCCTCCGTCGGCCCTTAGAAAAATCTAACAGTCCCAGGCACTGGTGTTGACCTTAGCTGTTGTTGGCCTTAACTGATGTTAAAGTCGCTTTTTCTTTCAAGATTCTCCATGAGGCGACTGTTCTTGACTTCCACTCATACCTCATTAATTAGGCAGCCTTCCTTGAACTTAGCTCGCGCCTAACTGTCCTGCCTTTTCTTAGCACCTTTTTTTAGCCACGCGCCGCTCCTCTCCCCACTCTTTCTTTCCAAAATTCTCGTCTTATCGCTATTATTCTCTCTCGTACGCTCTTCTCGCTCTCGCCAATGGCGCCATTCGTCGACCGCTACGATTTCCTCTCCTGACCCTGCAACGACACGGGCATATACTCTTTGTCGACGCACATGCTCGGTCGCTGTGTTCTCGCGAGAAGAGTGCCGCACACAGGGTAAGCGAACACACTGTAGACACAGGGTAGAATATACTGTAAACAACTTGACGGGCGTAAAGCGGCTTGCGACGGACAAAGTTTTTTTTCTTTTGGATTTTGCGTGCGTGAAATTGATTGGGAAGTGCGTACTGGCTTTTGTCACCTGCACCTTCAACTGTAACCGACCCGTTCCTGCGTCTTCAGGAAGGACCGGTGTTTTTTCAGGACTCGCTCCTGTAAGTAGCAGCGACAAGTTTGTCTCTCTCTCTCTCTCTCTCTTTTCCTACGTTGAGTTCTCGCCTTTTCTCTCTACTTCGCTGTTATTTATACTTTATTTTTAATTCTATCAAACTACTTTTCCGCAACGTTTATTTGCTTACTTCTTTTACAACCTCGCAATCATCTGCCTCCGTGTTAACAATAATGAATCGGAACGACGCTCCATTTGTGCAAGTAGACATCGTAAACAACAGAGGGACACCGCGGACTGGGTTACCTTAGTCTATAGCATAAGCTCCCTCCATGTCTTCTGTTTAGCTCTCAGTTTTGTGCTCTCGCGAATCAACTCGCTATCAAAAACCCCATTACATCGTATATTTCATATCTATGTTCTTCATATATTAGATTTATATATAGAAAAATATACGAGTACAGCTAATTTGGTAAGTAGTTGTATATAAATCTATATAGAATAAGAATATATTTTTTTGTGAAAATATCAAACGACTAAATGGCGTCGAACAAACTGCACAGTTTCCTGCAGAATTTTTGAAAAAAGTCTATAATGTACGCGCAATATTTATATTAAATATATATGCATATATTTAATATAAATATATGCATATATTTTTATAGAATTTGGTGCATCATTCGCTGTAGGAACCTATACATATATTTTACATATTTCTCTACATAGATATCTGTATGATGTTTTACATAGCTTTATTCGTAAATATATTTGTCGTTTCCAGACTGAGAGTGTAAACACAAACACATGTGTGCCTGTTCCTTAATTGCTTGAGGTCTATTAATTTTTTCACTTATAATAAGAACCAATAATCCCCGATAAAATTAAGTTTACTAAAATACATGTACTACGGTGATGAGTTTTTTATCCTACTTCCGCTGTCTTCCTGAATAACGGTTAGAAAAATCATTCTCATATTTAATGATGAAAAGTGAAATTACTTTCTTAAGCATAATAAGTTCCGAATTATTTCTGGCGCAAAACAAAGTCGTAGGTATTATAAACTAAATGAACGTTTATAATATGTTTCATAAAAAAGCATACGTTTGATTTCCCAAATTTCTACAGCTTCACACGCTTGTTAGTTGAATAAGTAGCTCATTTAAAATATAACTAATTTTAATATTCACCTATTTCATTTTCTAACAAAAATTTTTTAATCTAATAAAATCAATTTCATATTCATCAGTTACAGGAAATGACAACATCTTATTCAGAAATATCTTTTGATTCACCACCTCCGTCGAGTTTGAGATCACTGGTTAATTCGCCTGATGTGGATAAATCAGAAGAAAATTACAAAATGTTTAATAGTACATGTGTAAGACCCGATCATTTGGATTTAAAAAGGAACAATGAATTTGCTTATTACGAAAGTAATTCCAAAAAATATTATAAGGCAGCCGATTATTTGATGTCAGAAGGAACTGTAATGAAAGATGGTGATCTGGTATTATTTGTCGCTGAAGATTTAGAAAACAAAATTAAACTGTCCAGTCCTATTGCCAAGAAAATAGTTGTTCAAGACTTAACAGATACAAAAAATCATATATCACATCTTCAAAAATTACCCTTGGAAGAGCAATTATATGAGATAGATCCAAACATTTTAAACGAGTTAGAAAATGAAGCTAGAGGAGTAGCAACATCAGTTGATTCAATTACTGAAAGTTTGTCAGCAATTTTACACAGTGTAATTATATTAGTTTATATGTAAAAAAAACTTTTGAACAATATATACTTTTCAATTGTTTATTTTAGGCTTCTGCTTTGACAGTTGGCTGTTTGGAAACATATAGAGATGCCGTGTGCAAAACATGCGATACTATCGATTTCAATATAAAATCAATCTATCAATTGATGGCTAAAAGTGAAGAATTATCAAAGTCAATGAAAATTATTTATACAAAATCTGAGAAAATGTAAGTTTAATCATTTTGAGATAACATATACAATTTTAACTAAATTTTGTTAAATTGAATAGAAAATATAATAAGCAAAATATTTAAAGGAATAAATATTACTTCCTTGATAAGGGTTAAAATTTAAGTCGCGTTATGAGTTTTGGCTCATACCCTTTTAACTTCAAACTCTTTCTTTGGACTATCGAGAAATCTCTTAAAGTCAAGGGTATATCAATACAGTAATTGGACTAAAGAGCTAGTATAGACAGAAGGAGAGAGATCGATCACACTCAAGAGGGGAACTAAAGGGTCAGCAAATTAAGACATGTGCAAAAGAAACGATAGGCATGAACCTGCTCACAAATATCTAGCTTATCTCTAAATTTCTTTTTATCGAAGGTATTGGACAAAGCATACCGATTGTAATTTAACAAGGTCGTTCTATGTTAGGAAGTTTCTAATTCTGTGAAGAGATAGATCGAATAAAATATTTCGCTATCGGTATGTTGCGGTACTATATTGTCATACTTTTTGAACTAGACTATCTGCTTATATTTTATGTGCATATTATTTTATATTAGAGGCGAGGGTGGATATTTTCAATTAAATTTAATGAACAATACGACAAGAGGAACAGGATTAGCAAATCAGCCATATTGACTATTTCCGTATAGACTGATTTGAACATAGATACATTCGTTGCCACATTCTCACTGCTACTGAATCCTTGCTATCCCTTATGATGATTCGTACAATGGTTAGTGAGCCAACATCATTCATCGTGTACCTCCTAATAATAGCACGTACCTGTCACCGAGCGTCATTTATAATATTTTTCAATTATAAAAAATTACCACATAAATGGAATCATATCGATTATTTAATGAACTTTATGTTATTTATATATTTAAATATTATATTGACATTTCAGAGGTATTTTATAACGTTTAATTCGACTCACTGAAAGTAAATATGGTATCAAATATGCTCCAAAACTAATTTGATACTCTATCTCGATAAAAAGAAGCTGTTGGCCTTTATATCAACAGGTTTTTGTTTTAAAGTATTGATGCTAAATATTTAGTTCCATCCTAAATCTTGAATAAAACCACTTAATTCTTTTTGATTGAAGATTTCAGGAATTTTTGTTTCATCACTTGTCAAGTGTTCTTCATTGGCTTACTGAGATATTTTTACTTCCGAACTTTCCTCTTTAGATAATACATCATCCTCCATATCTTTTACTTCATCTAAATGACCCACATTCATTTGGTTAGGCAGTCACAGTTTCATCCGTTACTTCAATTTTTCAGGTTTTATCACTGAAGAAACGTTTGCATACAGAATTTTAGATGTCGTATTCATGTTGAAACTTGCGATATTAGTCATAAAAAAGCAGTGATCGTTACATATTGGAGGAATAGTCTGATAAATTTTAATTTTATCTTATGTTTTTTCCCATCCTAATAACATTATTTGATACATGTCAATAATATGTTAACAGCAAACTATTTGTGGTATCCAGTTTACATTTTGAAGGTAGTTGAATACCAAAGCATTCATTTCAAATCAATTTTAAATTCTTAATTAAAAGTCCCTGGTTTTTTCATTTTTATACATATTCTCCACAAACTAAACAAAATGAGTTAGAACTTATATTACACTCATGAGTATGTAACAAAACTCATTCCTTTGTTACCAATTCTTTTGCGGGGTAAGTGAGGCACTTTCGCTCATGACAATTGAGGGAGAAGAACGAGGGGAGGTTGATAAATAAATTATAGAAAGACAGAATTCAAATCTCACTTACAACCTATTATTATCAATAATTATTCACACTGAACATACGCGCGCATAACATAATCTAAATTACCGACCAACAAACTGCAAATAGAACAATAAACTACTTAATATAATCGCAAATGAACATTTCGCATTTCACTAATATTTACTCGCGTACTTAACCTATTACAAACTTACTTAAAAACTACGCGGACTAATACCGGGTAATTTGCCCGGCACGTGGGCGCCTGGACAATTCACCGGTCGCAACTTACATCACTACAAATTATTCTTAGCGCGAACCTTCAGATAGCCAGCACGTGAGTGCCAGGCTATCTCTTTCAACGCGCACCGGTCGTCGCCTCAACAGAGAGAGAGAGTGTAGAGAGAAAGAAGAAAAGGAAGGCTTGACCTTTTTTCTCCTGTTCCTCGCAACGTCGAGAATCCTGAGCGATGCGCTGCCGCAGGAAGTACCGGGTGTCGTCGCTGGTCAGATCGTCGCTAACCGCTGTCGCTGACCAGGTATCCGTAGGCGACGTTGACTCTCCTAGCAGGTGGGCTAGCTGCAGTTGCTGGCAAAGCCGTTGTCGGTAGAGTTGATCTTCCTTCCTTCCGGCTATCCCAAACTACTCTCTCTGCTGGGCTCGGACTTTCGCACTCTAGTAAGACTAGGCTTCGACTCCCTCACTCTAGTGAGACTCGGCTGCGACTCTCTCATGCACTATATCTTACGCGCATCTTGCAACCGCTCAGCGGCGCTCGCTCCTCTCCCTACCTTGACCTATTAGTTAGGCGGCACGCGACGCGTCGCTTATCGGTCACGCGTTGCGCACCTGCCAATCCCTGCATGGGCCTAATACTCTCTCTCTCTCTCTCTTTCTCACTCTCTCTCCGCGCTCTTCAACTTTTCTTTGCGCTCAATTGCGCTGGCTCGTCCTTGGCGCTGAAACAAAAGACCAAGTGTTAGGCGCATACTTAAATGCGCCCAACGTTGGCCACCACGACTAGCCGAGTGGGGGAGGGAGAAACGCGGACGAGAGACCGGCACACGGCCTGCTCTCGTCACAAGTACAGTTTAGCTAAAGAGCTCTGATTTTTTGCTAATACTTATTCTTCACTAAAGCAAGACCGTTAGGCTGTTATGGCAAAAACTTTTTAGAAAATCAAAAAAGTGTAATCTATAAAGAGCTAGCAGAAGAAATGTTAGACGATTACAAAAACTGAAGTTGTAATATAAGTTATAAAATACATTTTTTATATTATCATCTCTATTAATTCCCTCTCAATTTTGGTAATGTCAATGAAGAATAAGAAGGACGTTTTCATAAAGAATTACGTGTAATGGAGCATTGATAGCAAAGAAAACGAAATATCAACATGATGGCAGATTTCTGCTCGATGTTTAAAAGAGCTATGAAAACGAATGACGAAATAATAAATAAAATTCCGCTGCATAGATCATATAAATGAAAAAAGATTTCGATACAACAAGAACAAGGAATAAAGATATCATGCTTGCCTTTTCTTTGTTTAGGTGTGGCGCTAGGACGAGCGGCGAAGGAGGGTACAGGCAACAGTGGGAGAAGAGCGAGAAGAGAGAGAGAGACAGAAGAGAAAAGAAAGAGACGGAAAGAGAGGAAGATAGAGAGAGAAGAAGAAAGGAGTTACCCACGCACCCTCTTCTCAATCTTTTTGGCAGCTTGTGCTGAGTTTTAGCATAGGCCGTCACGCCTGCCATTTTCCGTCGATCGTTTTTCGTTGCCGAATAAAAGGTTTCCCGCACCCTGGCCGATGCGTTTTTGATTCTTTCGGAGATGCGCCCGGTGTGCGGAAGTTTCTGTGTAATAGGCTATGTCACGCCCAGCCACGAAAAATTTCGTTTGTACTATTTTCCTGCGATATGAAAAACAGCAACAATAATACTCATACCAAACCGGATAAATCTCTCCAGTATTCTACATCTTACAGGCCAATTAGTTTACTATCCACGCCATCTAAAATCTATGAAAAAATAATAACTAAAAGATCAATTAAAATATTATTAGATCAGAATCTAATACCTGGCCACCCATTCGGTTTTCGGAATAATCATGCTACAACGGAACAAATAGAGTTACTATTAAAATAATACATCCATGATGTCTCAAAAATTGAAAATCTTAATACCGCCATATACATAGTGTGACGGGTGAAACGATCGGTGAGATCGTTCACCGTGTTTGCCTTTTTTTATCTTCCGCGTGCCTTTCCCCTCCGCCGCTGCCGCTTCGGGTATCTTGGTTACCAGAACCGAGTATTGATGCCCGATGTGGCTTTGTTGCAGGCGTCGTTCCTGATCGGCATAGTGACCGGGGTGATATGGTTTAGACGAGAAAGAAGCTGCTATTAGAGCAAAATAGAGAGAGAGAGAGAGAGAGAGAAAGAGAGAGAGAGAGAGAGAGAGAGAGAGAGAGAGAGAGAGAGAGAGAGAGAGAGAGAGAGACAGATAACCCGATACGTGTAACCATTTTGATACTTCTCGCTGATCCCTAGCTTCTCTAGTAAACATCTGGGAAAGACTGTTAGAGAATGGAAAATCCAATTCTCGGGCGAGTTCACTATGAGCATCGAGGAGCTCCTCGAGCAAATAGAGGAAAACTGTCGACTAGATTGCGTCGCAGAAGACGAACTTTTGGATTCACTTTCGTCCTTATTTAAGAAACCAGCCCTGCTTTGGTGTAGGATAGTCAGCATGACCTGGAAACCTACGCGGAATTCAAAGAAGCGGCGTTAGGAGCGTATAGCAAATCGTGCAAGTTTAAAAGGAACTTGTCAGAAGAGGCTCTTCTTCGCGCCCAGAGCGCAGATGAATCAGTATGCGACTATCTATCGGCTCTTAGTACTATTTTATAGTCGTTTCGAAATGTCCTGGAGTACGCGCGACCAGGTAATCTTGGCTATTGATAATATGCTGCTAAAATTCAAGAAAAGGCTGAAAAAGGACTAGGATAACTTTGCCACGTTACAGCAGTTGCTCGAGAAAGCTCAGAAAGTAGAATCCTACGAATCTGACGAGCAGTGGAAACCGCCTACAGGCCTAAAACCAAGGCTGCGAAGCCCAAGATGACGGTAGCATCGATGGCCAAAAGGCCTGTTCCATCGAAGAAGCTGCTCTGGAGAAAGTGTTTCAGCATTTCTACGACAAGAAATGGAAGGACCTGGCAGCCGTCAAGGCTAAGAGCTTGACCTCCGCTGAAGGCGAAAGAGTCCGTACTACCTTCTCGGCGCAAGATGCAGCCAGCGGCGGTGACTCAAGGGCAGTCTTGTGATCTTCGCGTTGGTCTAGCAATAGTAGAGGCCGTGGAGGCAAGCCAAAGGGAGGCCGAGGAGCAAATAGCGGCCAGGTGATTACTGCTAAATCCGACAAGAATAAGGACAAGGGGCCTGGCCCGGACGTAGGCAAAGTCCTATATTGGGACTGTAACTGGCTTGGTTACACCAGGACCCGCTACCATGAATGCTTTAACAAAAGACTACTAAGTCGGAAAACGAGCTGGGCAGCGCGTAGAGGAGGTCTCTACGATACAGCCCTTAAACCACGGGACCTTGGAGGCGATTAGCGCTGTGGGAGTTGCGCATGCAGCGCCAATCGTGACAGCTGACTCGATGCTAGCTACGAGCCACTCAGACGCTGAGTTTAGTCATGACGATGAAGATACCGTATCAAGCGCCCTCGTCGAAGAGCACCCGTGCTGATGGCTGAACGTACATGTCAGCCCCTTTTCATTTAAAGCCTTATATGATATGAGAGCATCACGTACCGTTCTTGGTTCCATCGAAGTAGAGATAGCGGTAGCCTGCAACTTAAAGGTGTCACCTTACTCTGGATCAGGAGCAAAAGCAGTCGATGGTCACCACCTGCCCATCTGCTCGTAGGTAATGTAAAGTTGCCCTTTGAATTAGGAGAAATCAGGCATGATGTGGATGCGCTCATTTTGAAGGATGCAGATTCTGATTGCACCTTAGTTAGCGACTTTATTCGAGCCTTTTCGGCAAATCTGGACGTGAGAGCTAACACGTTGAAAGTCGAAGGTAGTGAGGACATCATCACGGTCATTCTCTCGTCAATGCGGATGGAGAAGATGATGTCGTTCGCCTCGGTCGGTATCCAGGTTACCGATAGCAAACGTCGAGAATTAGAGCTGCTTATGCACTCTCCTCCCGAAATCGGCTGGTGAGTCGCTAGGCTGCATAGATTGGATTCAACATGACATTAATGTCTGTGATGCTCGCCCCGTCAAACAAAAATACTACCCAGTCTCACATAAAGTTGAGTTGGAAATGTACGAGCAAGTGCACAAGATGCTTCGTATGGAAGTAATCCGCAGATTGACTAGCTAATGGTCGATTCCAGTAGTAATGATTCGAAAATCAGATGGCTCGTGCCACTTTTGCATCGATTTTCGGAAGGTGAATGCGTTGACGCGTGTTTGCGCTTATCTATTACCATATATGGATGTTATTTTGCGCAAAATTCAGCACGCCCGCTATTTTAAAGCGCCAAATCTGTCCGGCGCCTTCCGGAAGGTTCCTCTTACGGAGAGAGTCATTCCAATTACCGCATTCACCGTACCGGAAATGAATTGGGTTCATTTGAATTCATTCGGATGCCTTTCGGACTCGCGGGAGCTTCCGCTACATTTCAGGTGCTGATTGGCAAAATAGGCACATTCGAAATGGAGCCATTCACCTTTGCGTACCTGGCCGACTTGATTCTTGTCACAGGAACCTTCGTTGACCATGTTAAATATCACAAGATCGTCCTAATGCGCATTAGCCAAGCAGGCCTGACCGTAAATCGCCTTAAATCTCGAATCTGTATGCCAGAGGTGCGCTACTTGGGCGTGTTGATTAATCATGATGGGACCCACATAAAGTGAGGCCAATTCTTGAATACCTGGCGCCAGCAAACCTCAAGCAGTTGCGTAGGTTTCTAGGCATGGCGTCGTGGTATCGAAAAATCGTTGGAGACTTTGCTTCTATAGTGGCTCCACTTACTACTCTTACTCGCAGAGATGCGAAGTATAAGTGGAGCGAAGAGCAACAGGCTGTTTTAGAGCAAATACAAGCTCTACTGATCAGTGCTCCGGTCTTAGCTAGGCCGGACTTTGACGCCCCGTTTACCATCAAGTGCGATTCGAGCGACACTGGCCTTGGTAGCATTCTGCTCCAACGCGTGGAAATTGAAGACCGAATGCTATGTTACGCGAGCCGCATTCTGACTCCTGCTGAACGTCGGCTTTCGGTGACCGAGCGAGAGTGCTTAGCCGTTATATGGTCTGTGGAAAAATTCCGACCATACATAGAAGGCTACCACTTCACCATAGTCACTGACCATCATAACCTTGTTTGGCTGAAAAATCTGCAACATTCGAACGGGAAACTAGATCCCTGGGACTGCAATTCTATGACTTTGACATCGTGCATAGGAAATTTTGCGCATATTCGAGACTGAAGAGGATCAGCATGCAGCCATAGCCATGTTGAGCGTAGACAGGCATTAAAGATCCTTGGTACCTCCGCAAGGTTCGCATGGACGACCCACGAGCTCACCCTTACTGGAAAGTCATGGGAGGTCGCCTATATATTTACCAGCCTAACTCCGTGGTCGACGATTTGCTAGGATGTGACGACGATGCAAGGAAGCTCGTCGTGCCACACGAGCAGATTGCGTAGATTTTGTCTGAATGCTGTGAAGAGCCGATCGCAGGCCATCTAGGTCGATATCAGACGCATAAGCGCGCTGTTTTGCGATACTACTGGCCTAAGATCTAAAAAAATGTCGCCCACTACGTGCGCCACTGTCAAGTCTGCCAGCAGGTCAAAGTCGAGCAGAAGGCTCCTGCCGGATTAATGGACAAGCAAATCATATCATGTCCATGGGAAATTGTATCTGAATATATAATGGGTCCGTTCCCGAAGACAACCCAGGAATTCAAGCGCCTGCTGATATTTCTGGACTTGTTCACTTGATTGATCGAGTGTATACCCATTCGTAAGGCAAGTACCAAAACTATAAAGCACGCACTAAACGAGCGGATATTTCTGCGCTTCGGGGTACCGGACGTGTTTTCACAAAAATCGGCTAGTGAACGACTTCCTCGAAGCACAGGGAGTTTTGCACGCAACTTGCGCAACTTATTCGCCCAAAAGTAACCGTACGGAGCGAGTAAGCCGGATGATCAAGACGATGATCGCCGTGTTGATCGAGGAAAGGCACACTACTTGGGACGTGCATGCAGCCGAATTTACCTTCGCCTATAACACAGCCATCCTCGAAGCTACGAAAAGTAGCCCAGCCTTCCTCAACTATGGGCGCAATCCCGAGCCACCTCATTCAGCGCGACGAGTTGAAAAACGTGCTGTTACTGGACAACTCGAGTCTGACGCGCTTGACGATTGGCGTCTTCGTATGCAAAAGCTCGAAAAATTTAAAGCTAAATCTACTGAATCTAAAGCTACTGAACGCCTTCGGGCCTCAGTTTCCACTAGACACTGGAGTGACACTCGAAGAAGTATTCGAGCTGACGGGTCGGCTAAATGTCACGGGGACCACGATTCCGCCACCACCGATGATACGGCACCAAGATCGAGCCCGAAGAAACCAGGTGTCATAGACTAACGCGAGATGCTGCAGATACAGCTTGAGGAATCGGAAGAAGAAAAGGCAAAACGTACCCCAGAAGAGCGCTACTGAGCCGCTCTCCAGGACGAGTGGGCGAAAACCCGAGCAGCCCGACGTGCCCGCATAGCAGCCGCCGTCGAGGAAGACGCGGCTTACGCCAGCGTAGAGTTCTCCGAACGCCACGGAAGACGCGCTTGAACCCTGGCCAGTGACTTTATTGCCAAGGTCCAGGGCGCGGTCGACTTCAAAAAGATTCACAAGGCGGCCACTCTTCAATGAGATAATGAGAGGGAGCAGCGCTGCGAGGCTGAAAAGAAGAGGCAGGAACTGGAGCAGGAAAAGGCTGCCAAGAAGAAGAAACTCGTGGCCATCCAGTCTCAGCTGGCTGAGCTCTGCAAAAGGCAGAAACATCTCCAGTGTGACACCTGACAGCTCGCCCTGCGGTTCCTCCGGTCCGTTCCGCAGCCTCGTCGGCCCAGCACCCCTGCGACCGATGGGCAGATCCTCGAAAGGACCTTATTAACAAAAGGTATTTCAACGTTTGCTATCTAACAGGCATTGCACGAGCTTCTAGCTGCCCAAATGCAGCCATACATTGGATGTGGGTCGACCTGCGCTTAAGCGAGGAGAAAGAGAGGACAAAGAGAGAGACGGGTTCGGTTATCGAACGCGCGGACCGCGAGGAAGGCGCTCGGTTTCTTGGCACGGCAGATTCGGCTGTAAGATTTCGACGCAAACACACGTGCCCGGCTAGCTATCCGATTCCTTTGTTCTCGATACTCAAGCTTGCAGTGACGTATTCGACGACGATATCCAGGTGAGTAGAATTTGCATAAATTGCATAAAGTAAAAGTACAAACTATAAAAGTCGCCCGCTAATCTAAAGTACGTTTTTTTGAACCCTTGTGCGTATATATTTTGCGACCGGTGATATTCTTAGATGAGTCTAAATCTATTTACTACCGGTGAAATCGGCAAATTATTTTTATAGGTTTCTTTTACAAACTTATGTCACTTATTTCACTTTTCCATGCTTTATCATCAAAATGTATTTTTATAATTATTCTGTACTGCCTCACTCGACTAGAAATTATTATGATACCGATTTTTTGTTCGACGCCCAATCATACATGAATATTTAAATATTGTCTTTCCAACAGCGCACTTAATATGAGTACGTTACCGTCGAGGTTTATATTTGCCGACAGTATGTAAATTAAATTTTTACGGTACGTAAAAAGGTGTTCATTTAAATTTTTAATAGCCGAGAATATCTTTTGTCCGTTATTGTCTTCGTTAGTATTCGTCCAAGGTGACTTGTTATCTAGTGGTCGATTATCTGCTATCTAATATCTGGTCATCATACCATTTAGCCATCAAGATTGTTTTCCCGGTTGGTTCTTATAGCAATCGTCTACGTCAAAATCGGTAGGCTTTCATTCTTTGTTTTCGCTTCCTATTGTTCATTGATTTATTTTTCCTCAAGTGTGTAATAGTGTCGGCCTGCAATGCCGATTAATTCATCACTATCACCAATTATTTGTAAAGGGGGAAGGCTAGGAAGGCGGTATGTCGCTCCAAGCAAAGCAGGGAAGAGAGATACAGGCAAAAGAATTTCACACAAACAATTCCTTAACACATGTTTATTACAAATGCACTACCCGAGTGCCGACGAGATTACAAACACTTATTACTATTAACAACACGCGCACTTATTCTAAACGAGATGACCGGCACGTTAGCGCCATGCCACCTCGTTAACCGGCTCAAACAATTACTTAAATTTACACACTGCCGAAAACTACGCCGGCTCGGAAAAGCCTGGCGTAGCAACGCGAACCGTGAGAATCGCCGAGGAAAGACAGAGATATAGAGAGAGAGGAATCGGTGACCTGACCAAATTGGTGGACGTCGCTGTTGTTGGCAGCCTTGAAGGTGTCCCACCGGCGGCTATTCTGGAAAACTCCTCGCTGCTGCGTGGCCGGCGATCTGGCAGAAAAGGCTGTCGGGTTCTGCCTCGGTGACGGCTTCTTACAGGGCAGCTGCTGCGTCGCTGGCAGAGGAAGTCCCGTCCGGCCGATCTGCTGAGGAATGCTGACTTCTTCCGGACAAAGGGCAGGCAGCGATGGTCACCAGCTAACTCTCGACTGATTGCTGTCGCGCGCGTCGCGTCACTCTCTGTCGCGAGTGCGTGAGAGCCGGCTTCTCACGCTTTCTCCCACCACTCGCCTAATCGGCGGCACGCGGCAATGCCCGTCGCGACAAGTGCCGCGCGCCAAGCCCAATACTCAAACTATTGCTTTCTCTCTCTCCCTCTCTCTCTCTCTCTCTCTCTCTCTCGTACTCTCAATACTCGAACGCGTCGTCGCGTCCACGGCTTCTCCTTCCACCGCTCTCGTGCGTAGCTGAAAAATAAAGGGCAGGCATCAGGCACGTGATAACAACGTGCGCTTGATGCCGGCCGTGCGCCCTTGCCTAGGAAGGAGAGGGAGATAAGCGAACGGTGCAGGCCATGACGGGCCTACACCGTCACATAGGAATCTGTTTGTTAAACTTGGATTGTCTACTTGATTTTTCTTTCTTCAAAATGATCCATGTATTAGAAGTTTATGAATGTTTTTAGAAGTTTGGGGTATCAAAAGACGTATATTCAAATAAAATACCTCGGCTACTTTACTTTAAAAAGTACACATTTTTTAGCTTTCAAGCTAAACTCTTATGTAAAATTCTAATCAAGAAATTTTGTTAATTCGCATTCATAGAATCTCTCAATTTTTCTATGTAGCATAGATAATTATACACGATGGTTATTTTGAATATTACTTATACATTCTCAAAACAGATGAAAGAGATGCCCAGAACCGTATTGCGTTCTGTCAATTCTTGCTGAATGAAATAGATGCTGATCCAGGCTTTATGGATCGAATTCTCTGGACTAACGAATCAACATACGTACGGAAGGGAATGTTTAATCAGCACAATGAGCATCAGTGGGCTCATGAAAATCCGCATGTGGCTCGGGAAGGTAATTGTTTTGAATAGTTGAAGACCCCATATTTTAAAAAAAATCAATCCCACGAAAATGTTCCTATGCGTGTGCGTCTTCTATTGAAAGAAAATTTATTTTTAGGATACGCTTAATAATAAACATTTTTTATGCATTTTTCAAACACTTTTTCTATACCCCCTGCACGAAGACGCGACTCTGCGCACACTTCAAAAAGCAATGGTACTCCAAGTCGCATCTTTGCGTTCGGAAAACCGAAAATGTTAAAAAGATATATCTAAAAATGTATATTATTACGAGTAGAATAAAAATAAACTTTCTTCCAATAATACACGCACACACATAGGGAAATTTTAATCGGATCAGCAGTTTATTTTGGAATACGGGGTCTCCGTACCGGGATCCGGCCGTGAATTTGTCATCGGGTGCGTTAGTTATGATTTATAAAAAAAACAGTCTACGATCTCTAGCGATTGGCAAAAAAATTTTTCTCTATCGAAATAAAATTTGTATTTATAGGTCTATAAACAATTATTAATGAAAACGTTATTTAGTTCGTTCGAATTACTTTTTCAGTTTATCCACATGGAGATGATTTAAGTGTAAAGGAAAACTTGATGTTTTATTAAAATTAGACTAACTACTACAAATACTTAATAGTAGAGACTTAGTCTACGCAAAGACCGCGCATCTCGCAGAGAGTAGAGATGTAAGCGTGACGGCAGTTCTAGTGTGAGTGACGATTCACTCGTCATACCTCAGCGAAGGCGGTTTCCGTAGACATCGGGGGAAGGTAAGTCCCACCCACGAAGTCCGTGAAAAGGTTAGTTGAGGACCAACGGGAAAACAGGGTGATGAGACGTGTTTTGTCGCTAACAACAAGGGATTAGCGAGAGCGCAAAGCAATTTTCATTTATTGCGGGCGCGCCATAAAAATCGAAATTCGGCGCGGCAGTTAAGCGGCAGCCGCGCGACAGCTGAACTAAATTATTTTATTGATGCTGAAGAAAAACTGAAAGTTTTAACCAAGTAGATCAACAGATAAAGCACGTCCGCCACACACATTTAAACAATGGGACGATAAAGTCAAAACTGATTCACAGTTCATACATTATTATGAGTATTAATCTAAAACACGAAGAAAATGTAGTTCTATGCGCGAATTCGTTGAACCGGCCGTGTCGTCAGATGTGGAAGAGTCCACGTTCAGCTGAATTTTGTTCTTTCCGACCGCATCCCACGCATCGTACTTAAACAAAGTTCCGCTTGTCGCCTCGTCCCGTTGTTCATGACCGGCCCTAGCACTAACGCGTTGAATCGAGGCTTTTCCGCCGCGCGAAATGCTCGATTTTTGGTTCTCTGGCTTTAGGGGCCCGTCCAACGCCGAGGAAATAGACTCTCCATTAACTACGAGATCTAGTTTCTCCAGCTTCTCGTCAGCTACATCGTGAACGACCTCACTACCCGGCCTACAAACGACTTGCTTACTTTCGTTTGCATCCGACTCTAATTTCTCATCTACACCAAATACTACCGGCCTGCAAACGACTTGCTTTCTTTCGTTTGCATCAGACTCTAACTTCTCACCTACATCTAAAACTACCGGTCTACAGACGACTTGCTTTCTTTCGCCTGTGTCCGATTCTATTTCTAACCTTACATTAATGATGCGATCGGAATTCCTTATTTCCGACGCAACAACCGAGTTGCTCTTCCTTTTTAGCAGCTCGTCTATCCAAACCGCCCGTTCAATTTGCTTTAAGCAGGAGTCGCTGAGCGGTCGGCGGCTCCTGCACCCGAGTTTCCCTGTCTTACTTGACTACAAGTCGGACAATTTCGGAAGACAAATCCAACGGTCCCGCAAACCTGACACTCTGGCTTGGCCTCCGTCGGTCTCAGTGGGCAATTATTTGCATAATGCCCTGGTTGTCTGCACTTGTAGCAGACAATCGGCTGCGCATTTTGCGCGGCCGGACACTGAGACCTCTGATGGCCAACCGGACCACACGCGAAACACGCGCCTACAAAAGGACGTGGTCCTCTCGCGGCACCTGTTTGAGCGCCATTAGCTTGTCCACGCTGTTGTGGAATCAAACTCGGCGTGGAGAACATCGGCACCTGGGCGGCCGGCGGCTGCGCTGCAACGTTCTGCTGAGCTGCAATATTCGGTTGCGCTGCAACGTTCGGTTGCGCAGCCTGCTGCGAAGAGCGGTTCGTCGCCTGCGGCTTCGCGCCTTGGGCATTAGCCGCGGCAACTTCGCTCTTCGGCCCTTTGCCCTTGGCCTTTGCCTTTTTCCTGCTAGCGCGCGTTTCTTTAGCCGGTTCTACTGTTAAAACTTCTTCTAATTTGCCCGCGACCTGTTCTACTGCCCCGATCGCTTTCTTTCCAGCCGGCTTCTTAGGCTCGGAATAAGCGGACTCCGGCACGAGCGTAACGTCCGCGCTCGGTGGACGCTGCCACCTTTTCCAGCCCGCCATTCGGTCTTCCAGAGCTAATCCTGCCTCTTTAAATTGGCTTAAATTTTTAAAGCTTTTTGTCTCTAGAAAGCGCTTGTACTGGGGGTGTAGTCCTTCCACAATTATAGCTACCTGTCTTTTATCGGATACCGGAGGATCGAAGCATCTTAAAATTGATTGGAAAGCAGCTACATAATCCGAAATACGTTCGCGCTCTCCTTGCGACCTCTGTCTCAGCTCTCGGTACAGCTGTTCGCGAGTAAGCCGGCGACAAAAGTTAGCCGAAAAACTCTTTCTAAATCCTAAGAAACTTGCCCACTGTTTACGGTTAAGTTCGTACCATGAACGCGCTT